TACTCGCATATCTGCTGGAAACACCTCCAGGTGCTGAGGGGCGTCATGAACTGTATTTCTGACCTGGCCTTAAGTTTCTTCTAATGATGTGGCTTTGATTAGTAAGCTGCAGATTTTTATTTTTCAAAGTTTGTATTTCTCATAAAAAAGTAGCCAGGGAGCCACGGAGATGGCTCAGTAGAATAAGCACTTCCCTGCCAATGCAAGGGTCTGAGTCCAATCCCAGTTCCACCAAAAAAAAAAAAAAAAAGGCCAAACAAGGACAGACCAGCCCAATGATTCTCAAAGGGGTCTGTGGGCCCTGTGCCCCCTGCCTGCCAGCAGAGCGCTCACACCCTCCACCCAGCCTCTGATGGAGGCTGCAACGGGCTGGCATTGACCTTCACGTGCCCAAGAAAGTCATTACAAGGAGGAAGACGCACTGTCACAAAAGCACAATTTATCTTGCAAAACATATTTCTGAGAATTGGCCAGCAGGATGATCTGAGACATGGGAGGAACTTGCAACTTTCTGGGGTATGGCAAGCCTGGTGGGGTGCTGTGCAGTCTCCATTAACAAGGTGTGGGTCATCTTCAGTGGTAAAACTCCTTGCTGCTGATCCCCGCACGAGAAGGCTTCTCAGGCTCTGCCACAAAAGTCCAGGGACAGAGGGACAGGAAGGAACCTGGGAGGACACTGTCCCTTGCCTGGCACTGGTGCCCAGCATATGCCGCGCACAGCCTCTCACAGATTTAGCCTTGTTTGGATCATAGATTCCTCTACTTCACTTAACAGATTCGCTCAGATGGAAGGAAGGGTCTCGGAGGAGAGGTGAAGGGAGCAAGTGGGGGGTTCTGACACATGAAGATGCAGGTCATGGAATTTTAAATAAGTCAGAGAATAGTTGATCTATTAAGGAAGATTTGCCATACATATTTTATGAATCACTGCTTATCGCGGGTCACTGGACACCAGCAACGCTGAGTCTCTTTCATCCCTCACTGCCTTTCCACGCAGGCACAGGCTCTGATTAGCTTTTCTAAGTCCATGTTGTATCAAGAGGTAAAACCCAACATCCGGCTTCCTAATCACACCGTGAAATGCACAGACATCAGGACACGGACGACAGCCATGCAGCTCAGCTGCGTCCACCAAGCCAGCAAGTGCAAGCGTGTCAGCGCCCGCCACGCCCAGGTTGCAGATGAGGATGAAGGACGTGACAGAGAGAGCTACGGCCTCCTGCTTCCTCAAGTTCTCGCTCCCTAACAGCGGCCTCACAGGGGGTAGACCCCAGGAAGGCTCCTCTAGAGCAGCTCAGCAAGAATGCTTCAGGCCAGGTCCCAGGGGTGGCGTCTCCCCTGCCGCGCCCACAGAGACTCAGCCCCATCTTTCCCCATCTCACCATCCATGCGTCTAGACAGCAGCATTCTCTGCCGATGACCTGCGGACCTGAGGGAGGTCGGGCTCACAAGCGCGACAGGACAGAGACACCACCTCACCCAGCTCCGAGAAGCACATGGCTTTTGCTCTGTAAAAGGACAGACATAAACTAAGCTGTGTTCATTCCAATGCCTCCCTGTGTGGCACAGATGTCAAGTGGGCTGGCATCAGGCCAGACCTCGACTGGCACAAAGTCCAGTCCCTGCCAGTGCCCACTAAGGAAGAGCCTCCCAGGCCAGGGGCCCACTAAGAAGCCAGGTCAGGAAGGACCAGTCCAGCACCGCACTCCTCTCAGGACCTCTCAGCATCAGCCCTTAGGCTGGACGCTCCCAGCTCCCTATCCTTCCCGGTGAGAGTGAGGCAAGCACCTCAGCCTGAAGAAGGCCCGCAGCACAGTGCGGAGGATGGCTGCCGTGGAAACCAGGTAGAAAACGTCTCCTTGGTCCTCTCCTGCCTGGCAAGAAGGGCAGGGCCACTCAGGCGGGGACCAGGGCGGACAGGGCCTCTGGCTGTGCTGCGCGCCCAGGGGAAGGGCACCCCTGGCCCCGCCGCTGGCCTGTGCCTCTGGCTCCTGCTTCTGTCCTTCGTTTGTACAGCACTTGTTCTTTCTAATGAGACAGAGAGGGCCCTGAGGGCAACAGGACTCCAGCAGCAGCAGCCGCAACCACACCTTCTCAGGACGCATGCTGGGCACCGTTTTATCAGAGATGCACTTTCTGCTTTTGAAGGCACCATTACAAAACCACAGGCATCTCCAGCCAGTTCTCAGAACGCAGCCTTCGTACCGCGGCTGGCATCCGTGGACGGCACCACCGTGCGTGGCCCAGAGGTCAGGGGCTCTGGGGACGGCTGGCACTTTCAGATATTTATCACGCGCTGGAGTCTTTTCATCTGGAGGTCTCACATGTGAGAGGCTCAGCAGACAGAGCCTTTTGTTTACAATTCTCGCTGTGTTTATGAGTGCTTCCGTACGACTGGAGCTTGCGGTCCTAGCTCGATGCCTGCTAAGGGAAACCAGCAAGCACAGCCCAGGAAGTAACCTGCATGGTGACAATGTGTGCCAAATGCTTCTTGTTGAATCTGGTGATAAATGAGGCCTACAAATCAGGAACTATTTCTGGAAAATACTCAGGCCTGAGGACAGCCACGCAGCAGTAGAGGAGCGGAGCAGGTGCTCACGGTGCATCAGGCATCCAGCAAGAACTTGGTTTCAGGGGAAAGAAAAAGTCAAAATTCTTTTCTATCCAAAGATGGACAACAGACTCATGTATAATAGTAACCCACAGGATTAATTCTATTGTTTATTATGGCTGGTGAATTATGACGTCACCCTAATGGCCTGACTCCACTCAAAGACAGCCTTAGCCTGGAAGGGCCGCATGCCTTCCAGGCCCCGAGCACCATGTTTTCTGCCTCACGGTCCCGGCTCACGGCGCAGCAGATCTGACCGGCCCGTGGACCTCAGGTTCAAGCTTTGTCACCTGTCAATACCTTGATTAGGCTGGGCTTTACACACAACAGATTACGATCCCAGAGGGAGGCAAAGATTTCCCAAATTAAAAGCAGAATTGTAAAAGGAAACACTCATCCATTCCTCCACAGTTTCCACCCAGTGCCCTCAAGGCCGGCCTGCAAGCCCTACTCACGCTGACTGAGAGTGAAAGCTGCTGGTGGGGCGTAGCCGTCTCGCACAATTAACAGCAGGGGAAGTAGTAAGACATGCTCCATGCTTCAATTCGACCTTTTATAATGTGGTACTTCGAGGATGGCAATGCCAAAGAAAAGTCATTCACCTAGAAAAAGAGCTCAAGACGCCCATGCAGAAGACGGGCCTGCAGGAGCGCAGCTGGAAGGCAGCCTCCCGGCAGGACTGCTGGCCACCTAGCCCCTCACTGCGGGGCTCTGGGGCTTTGTGCTCTACGGGCATGGGTGAAGCTCACAGCAACAGCACCCTGCTCTCCAACCCTCTGGGCCACAGGAGCTGTCCACAGAACCAGGCAGAAATGGCACAGGACGCCCACTTGGCTTGGCTCCGAGCCTGCCCCGGCCTCCAGCCTCCATGGAAGGCCTGTTTGTGCTGCCCAGGTATGCACCACAGTGCCTGATCTCTGTGGGCCACCATCTACTCTCTGCCACTGTCTGCTTCGGTGATGCTGGTTTCTCCCCTTCTGTCCTGACTCCGCCTGTCCCAAGCTCTGTGTGAGACTTTCTAATCCCGGTCCTAGTCCTTCCTTTTGAGGACTGTTGCAAATCTCCCTGGGACTCCAGCCAGCATTTCCAAGCCTAAATCCCTAAGCCAACTATCGTAAGAGGCACACAGAGATCTGGTTATAGCGTCTAGACCAGCTGGTCACAGCCCTCCTGCCCGGGGCCACAGCTCACGGTCCGTAGCTGGGCACTGCCCTGTGTCCGCAGCCTGTGAGCTCTATCCACCAACAGGCCTCAGCCTCCGACATGGCGCCTCGACATCTCCTGCAGCCCTCGCTGACGTTCCCTGTATCCTTCAAGAGTGGACCCGGGCTCAAGACGGCCACCAAGCTCTCCAGACAGCTGTTCCCAAGTCCCAGGAGCATGCTGGGCAAGGCTTCCCCCAAAGGTCGGCCTGCCCCGCCAGCACCCTCCCCAGCTACCCAGACCCGGCACTCGCCAGCGGCTCCCCTCCGCCCTCACCCGACTCCCTTGCTCCTGCAGAGTCCCCAAGTCCAGCCCCGCCCCTTTCTTTCTCACAGTGGACCTAGATGGACCCCAAGTAGCAGCATCGATTTCCCCTCAGGCCTCAAGAGACTTTCTGGTTCTACCTCAGCTGAGTCAGCTCCCAGATGGTGCCCAAAAACCTGCTTTGTTATTTGGAGACAGGGCCTCGCGGTGTCGTCCAGGCTGGCCCTGAGCTCGGGGGGAGCCCAGGCAGGCCACAGCTCGGGGATCTGCCCCAGCGTTCTCAGTGTTGGGATCACAGGCACGCGCCACCACGCCCAGCCGGAGACTGTGTCTAGCAGCCCCTCTGGAAGTGCCAACAACTCAAGTTTCCAACCCGTGAGGGAAAGCCCCATCCGCGCGCCTGGCCAGAGCCAGACAGGACACGAAGGCGTGGACTGAGCAGCAGCCTGGCCTCACGCTTCTCAAAGTCCACGAGTGCGAGTGCTCGGCCCGCTACCAATATTTTAAACTTACGCTGCACATTTAAAGGGCTTATAAAAATTACAGGAATTATGACATAATGATACTCTTTTTCTAAAGTTCAAAACAAGATAAACAACAGGTTGTTTGGACACGCATAAGTAATTTACAACCAGTTTTTTTTTTCCTAACCAAGGAATGGTAATGGTAAACTCCAAGTCTGAGTTCACAGCACACACCAGAGGCAAGCCATTGGGATGGTTTGGGCCCTGATCCAGGAGGTAGGTGCGTGGACATTCAACAGGTTATGGGAATGGGTTAACCAGTTGATTCAGCTCATACATGGATCAACGGGTACGATACTGGGTAACAGAGGGCCACTAATTTAAGGACCTGCGCATCACGACCCTCTGCCTAGGTCACTCTGGCTCCGGGCCACCAGTGCCCCAGATGCCAACAGTACCTGTGTGCGGTTGAACGCCACTCTGGCAAACACAGCCTGGGACACGCTGGCCCGCTTGAGCTCGTCTCGGACCTGCTGGTAGATGTCAGGAGAGACCTCCACGGAGGAGCTGGTGGGTTCTGGCTTCACTGCTCGGGGAATGGGTGGGTGGTTCAGGAACTGCTGGTTGATGGCCTGGGGGTGCTGGTGGGCCAGCAGGCGGCTGACGGCAATCTGCTGGTTGATCAGGTGGGCCATGGCGATCTGCTGCCGGACGAGCTGTGGGCTGAGCTGGGGTGAGAGGAGGCCGGGACTCATGATGGGCTGCAGCGCGGGCACTTGGTTGCGGATGGGCGCGCTGTGGTGCACCTGGCTGTGCGGGGGCTGCTCGCTGCTCTTCCCCAGGGACGCCAGCTGGTTCATATTTGGTAAGTGCATCGGACGCTGGCCCAGAACACAATAGTCTGAAAGGTTTTCTCGCTCCACTCTTTCCACTGTTGAGATAAAAATGATGTCACCATCACGTCAGTATTTATGGGCAGAATGTGGAAACCCTGACTATCGCATTTTGGTAGAGAAACGACATCCATTTCTTTTCGTATAAAGATGAAGCCCTAGGGTACAAGCAAGTTATTCTTTCCTGCAAAATATTACAGTGAGTTTTTCTCTTTAAAGAGATGAAAGTAGGGCTGGGGATGCAGCTCAGTGGTAGAGCGCCCGTCTGACATGCAAGCAATACGAACACACCAACAGACAGAAACGAAAGCCAGGCAGCGTGCCGCCTCGGTCCTCCCAAATGTTTAAAAGTAAGTGCCATCGTGAGCAGCCCAGGTAGAAGCCGCAGCCATCAGATTCTAAAGCTCACTCACGGGCTCCATCACACATCATCCTCATCATCCTAGGCAATGATGGTGCCAGTCACCCTTGGGTACAGTCAGAGTCATCAGGAGAGGACAAGGTTGACAAGTCCTGCTGGCCTGACTCCAGCTTTCCAGGGCAAATCTCACATGAGCACCTGTACACAGGCCTGGAGACGCTCACTGGAAAGACCACCCCTGAGTGCACCCACCCATCACCTCTGTGTGTCTCAAGGACGGTGACATGGGAGAGAGAAGAAAGAGCTTCCTCGTTTACCAGTGTCACCGGCACTGGCCACTGAACAGGCCATCTGCTTTATTACAGTTGATTGCACTTTACTGAAGACTTCAAGAATAACCTGAGAAGGGACAAGAAACACAGCAGGAGTTGTAGAGATGTACCAGGATGATTTTCAGGGAGGGGAAGCACTTCCTGGTCAACCCTCCTCTCCACTCTGCTGCCCAGAGAGGCATGTGAGGCTGAGCAAATCCATCATTACCAGCCCTCAGTGCTCACGGGTGTAATCTAGCAGGATCTGCTTGTGAGAGCAAATTTCCTAGAGACTGAGTGGCTATTTCTCACCGCTGCACACGTCGGACACGCCCATGCTGAAGTCCTGCTCCAGAAACCCTTAAGAAGCATGGCTCAGGGAGGCTACTTGCTAAAGACCAGAGGGACGCAGAAGAGGACCGTTTTGAAAGTAACTGTCCACCTATTACATAGCAGGTGCTGAGGCTCAGCATTCAGCTTACAGTAACAATCACTGGTACTAGAAAATTACTGAGTCCCAAAGCCTTGAGGCAGAGGTGATATGCGCTAGCAAACAGGGAGACTGAACTCCGGACAGATGCCTCCATGAGGACCCAGGCACGGTGACTGGTCGCAGGGAAGCGACTGGAATAAAGCCAGTCAACAAACCCTAAGAGCGGAAGACAGCATTTCCACGTTAACCACTTGTGTAGCAGCTGTGTGCACTGAGGTCTTACGATACAAACATGGGAGCAGACACTTGACCATCTACACATCTACAAGCTGTAGGTATGTCCAGCTTTCCACTAGGAAACAGGTGAAGACAGCTGCTAGGATCACAGTATACTTAGAAGTCTGTACTTTCCTCCTTTCTTTTTTTTTTCCAGTAATTTTATTGAGAAACAAATACCAATGAGATAGTTTCAAATCCAATTAGTAGGACAGTTTCAATAATTAATACATTGCATATTGTCTTAATGGTTATTCATCGAACAAGATGAAGACATGATATCCTATTTACAAACACTATTAGAACAAATCTTTGTATTTCCTCCTTTCTTAAAAACTGATTTTTACTAACTTTCCTCTGAACTTGCAAGTAAGTCAAACCTCAACGCCTTCCATTCCCACCTGACCCTCCAGCGACACCCCCTAGCTTTCCC